TGTTTTCCCATTTCAGACCACGTGTCTTTCCCTAGAGAAGACACATAAAATATGGATACAACTCAAACAAGGAATCTTATTCTCAAGGGAATGACAAGTGGTCTGAGATGAGAGGTCTATTTCCTTTTATCTTAACATTTATTATCATATGACCCGTACGGCCCTGCTCGCGCGCTCTAATAAAACCATTGGAAAAAGTCACGTGATAGTCACGTCGCTGCGCTCATAAGTACATAATATCTGTTCATACCTTTGTTTAGTGTGTGCACAGAGATTTAGCAGCCCGTAATGTTTTACTTGACCTATACAACAATCCAATGGTATCTGACTTTGGGCTGTCACGTGATGTGTACGAGAGCGGTCAATACGAGAAGACATCTATGGTAAGGCCAATACTGCGTAATCAGTCATATATACCTATTTCAAAAAACGTCGGTCGGAGTTCTGAAATCTGAGACAGAAAGGAATTGTGGGTTGTAAGCTGTAATTTGTTTGTGGTTTTAATTAGTAGTTCGCAAAAAGTTAATATCTTGATATACCAGCTTTGAGCGATGACCTTCGCTGGCAAACTATTTCGGTAAGTGACATTGAATTTTGAACGAGAAAACACTCAGTCCCCCACAATTCCAATCGGTCTCAGATTTCTGATTTCAGATATCCAACCAACAACATTTTTTGAAATAGGTGTATACATTCCTTTAGTGTGAACCATATTCTTTCCATTGTAAAGTTTGGTGAAATACAGTGGACCCTCTATATTACGGACACCTCTATAATACGGACACCTCTATATTACGGACACCTATAATACGGACACCTCTATAATACGGACACCTCTATATTACCTACACCTCTATATTACTGACACCTCTATATTACTGACACCTCTATATTACAGACACCTCTATATTACGGACACCTCTATATTACCTACATCTCTATATTACGGACACCTCTATAATACGGTCACTTTTTGACTCTTTGATGTCCGTATCATAAAGGTTCCACTGTCTTCCAGTTTCGAGTTGTCTGTTGCTCAGAGTTAGCGTCGATTTTGTGTAGAATATTCATGTGTTCCAGCGAAGGTCTGTGGAAATTCAAAGCGTTTGCATTATTGAAGTTGTGCAATTTCTTTCATATTTGAGGCTAATCCTCAGTAAGCGAGTCTGCGATCAAGAAATACAGCTGTGTTTTACGACTTTCAAAATGGTGTACTGTTTTTGTTTCAGGGTAAGTTACCCGTCAAATGGATGGCTATGGAATCCCTGGATGACATGATATTCACTGTCAAGAGTGATGTGTAAGTTAAATGGGCTTTTTGCATCAACAGGTCACGTGAACCTACCCTCCTGAAAAAGAGAAGTTGTGTCAAAATGAACATCAGAAATGAAAAGAGCACAAATCCTCATATTTGATGCCATTTCTTCTATACTCAACATCATAAGCTAAATCTCAGGCTTTAAAACATTACGCCTATTTTGCCGCAATTTAGTCTTGAGAATACCTTGTAAGTTTAGATTGTATTGTTATTTAGTCTCCTACGGTGCCGCTATTAGTTTCGTCACGCCACGCTCACTCCCCTAAGTAGCAATGCGTGACGAAACTAATAGCGGCTGCGTAGGAGACTAGTTATTCATTTGATACTTTCATTTTAGCTTGTAAGTATAGAGGCTTTGCACCATCACGTGATGGCAACCATGACAGAAAGCACAACAATAGAGCCTCATTTCCCTGGGAAACTGAATTTTTTTCTGATGTAAATAAAATTAGTCATGGCTGGCACCACGTGATGGTCCAAACCCGGCTCGGCTGTATTGTTATATGATCTGTCGATGATTCTCTCTTGCAGCTGGTCGTTTGGCGTAGTGATATGGGAAATTGAAACTCTAGGTAAGCCCTCGTACTCTGTGTTCACTTTTATAGTCATAGGAATTCTTTTTTCGCCCCTCATGGAGTGTTTGCTTTCTGTTGTGTTTGTTCAGTATTCCTTCTTCTTGCAGGTAAACTTCCCTATCCTGGTCTGAATGGAATGGAATTATTGTTGCAACTGAAGAACGGGTTTCGGTTATACAAGACGAAAGACTKCTTGGATGAAGTGTGAGTTATGTAAAATGTATTTTGGATTTTTTCGTGTTTTGTTGATAAAAGTCGGTTGTTCGTGTTTCATCCATCACTCGTGTGTGATCGTGATGATGTTCGTGATATCTCGGGTTCCAATCGTAAAACTCGTTCGTGGTCGTGATGACGTTAGTAATGCCAGTTTCGTGATCGTGATGATGTTCGTGATATCTCGTGTTAAAATCGTGAAACTCGTTCGKGGTCGTGATGACATTCGTGCGGATGCCAGTTTTGTGATCGTGATGATGTCCGTGATATCTCGTGTTGAAATCGTGAAACTCGTTCGTGGTCGTGATGACGTTCGTGATGTCAGTTTTGTGATCGTGATGATGTTCGTGATATCTCGTGTTGAAATCGTGAAGTTCGTTCGTGGT